ATTTCTGATTCTTTGGTTTCCTTTCTGTGACATTTCTAGTCTAATGTAATTCAAGGAAAGAAAAGAAAGTATTCAGGAAACCACCTTCTTGACCTGCAGACCATGTGTGCTACTGAAATAACAATTGTTGTCATAGTAATTGATATTTACAAATTGCAGCACACTTCACAAAGATAACACACACACGTATTTCTCTGGACTTCATAATAGACAAGTAGTTACTACAGCATTATTATCTCCATTTTACAGATCAAGAAACTGAGGCTTAGAAAAATTATGTGATTTTTCACAGTGAGAGTAAGTGGCAGTATTTGATCTTAGGAAGCACTCATTCTGATTCAAGGTCAGTAAGAGACAGTGAAAATGAGAGTTAGACATAAAGTCTTTAGAGAGAGACACAAACAGGGAACAAAAGGAGATGAGGCATAAGGCTTATTTTTGTCCTTCCCCATACTCTGTTTTCTTTTTCTTTTTTTTTAAAGGAGAAATCAAATGAGTTCCTTCATTTCCCTCTTCAGACACTAATAGAGTTAAAAGAGAAGTACACTCAGAAGATAAAAAGGCAGAAGCATAGTGCTGGAAGGGACAAGAAGAGACTCTCTAGTCTATCTTTTCACAGTAAAATGGATTTCTACCCAAACCATCATGAGTCTCCTGGTTACTCTAAAAGCTTTTGAGGGAAGATAGTTTCATTTTACTTAGTAACACATCTATTTGTCTCTTTATCTAGACTCAGGCTACTTTCATACTGTCATTTAATAACCACTTTATAATATGTCTTTACATATTTATGTGTTAAGTCTTTCTTTATTTCCTTTCATACTTGTTCATAAGTTTTATTCTCCTAATTTCTTATGTTTCTATATGGAGTTTAATATAGGAGGATAAAATTGGTCATACTGTTCAAACCACGACTCAAACTAAGTACAGAGAAGGCTGATCACCATTAGTAAGAGGTGATGAATTATTTGACCATGGCAACTCAGGAAATATATATGCAAATCTCATATTTTTCTCCCTCTGATTACAGACTGTACATGCGTTTATATATTTTAATATTTGTTTCTATAACAACATTGCTATGTTATTAGATGAATAACCTTCTTCAGGAAGGCTAATAATATCCTTCAGGAAGGATAATAAAGATAGAGTACAGGCACATTGAGAAGCAGTGAGGTATAATTGAAAAAGCACTGAATGAATCAGAGGACATTGGCTCAAATCTTGCCTCTATAGCTTGCTCCCTGTCGGATCATGAATAAATCACTTATGCTTCTTGGGACTCAGTTTCCTCAACTGTAAAATGAGGAGATTGAACTAGATAGCCTCCAAGGACCCTTCAAGCTCTAAATTTATGGTCCTTCCCATGACGTCTCTGAAAGACTGTCATCACTGAGAAGCTATCTACATAAAGAGCCCCAATGAAAGAGACAAAGACAAGAGAGAGACAGAAAGAAAGAGAGAGAGAGAGAGAGAGAGAGAGAGAGAGAGAGAGAGAGAGAAAGCCCGCAAACAAATTAATATGTCATAGAATTCTAGAATTGGAAGCAGCATGAGAGGTAAGTAGTACAATTCCCTCATTCTATAGATGACATAACCTTTGGAGAGAAACCTTTGATCAAATGCTATTTTTTCTTTATGTGCAAACATAGTGTCAGTCTCTTCTGAGGAAATCCCTATAATAATAGAGTTTTAGTTGACATGAAGTTATGGCTGCATAGTTCCATGATCTCTTTGGTATAAGGTTCTCTTTGCAGTGCCAGTGGTTTGAATTACAATGCTTCCAATACAATTTCAACCTCTGCTATTTTTATCCAAGTTTTTCCAATTATCCCCTATAAATATAAATTGCTATATCAATTAAGTTCAATCAAACATTCGTTGATTAAGTGCCTACTACACTCTGTGTGTGTGTATTTCTGTGTGTGTACGTGTGTATGTGTGTATGTGTGTGTGTGTATGTGTGTATGTCCACATGTTCCCCATAGGACTGTGTATCTGCCTTCCTGTAGCTTATATTCCATGTAAACTATCTTACTTTTCCAAAGGTTCAGATTCAATCTGTGTTCTCCAAAACTGTATGGTGAGGAATCAATCATTACTTCTTATTTATTTACATTAAAGCCCTGATAACATCTATCAGTTATGTGGATTTTGGTCTTGACATCCACTTTATAAAAATGTTACACTATATTTTAGGATGATTTATGACTAATATCAGGGAAGTAGAGTAAAAGGCTGATTTGATTTATTTGCACTTGTATGCCCCAGACTAAAGGGTAGATGAATAAAGGTGACATTCTAGGTGACATTCAATCAGCTATACTAACATAAGGAAATAGTCAAGAAAATACTGCAGAGATTTTATTTAATACTTTGAGATAATATTCCAGATGTAACATAATGAGTAGCAGCATGGCCATTGAGTCAGAATGACCTGGGTCCAGTTCCCACCCCTGGTACATCTTGGCTCAGTGGCCTTCAACAAGTCATTTATCTTCTCCCCACCCCAAGAAATTTTTTAAGAATAAAAGTTTTCCAGGAGATGCTGATCTGTATCAGTCAAGGGAGTTTCTGAACTGATGAAATCATAATTCTGGGCCAAAAAATTATAAGCAATAATATTATCTTAACCTGTTTCTATGTAATATGATAAAACCTTTAAAAGTATCTAATGATAATAAAAATCCTAATTTGATATGAATGTCATCATATATAACAATGGTTGGGAATGCATAGCAGTGGATAGAAAGTCAGAGCGGAAGAGTAGGATTTAAGTCCCACCTCTGAAATGTGATTCTGAGCAAATCACTTAACCACTCAGTGCTTTAGGTAACTCTCTAAGAATATAAAATGGAGAGAAGTTGCCAATTTGCACTTAGTTTCCTATACCTTTGAAATCACAGGTCCAGTTACTATCCCTATTCCTTATGAATTATGTTGGACAAACACGATATAAAGTTGGATCCAACTAGAAAATTCTAACTTGTGTTATATCAAAATAAAGAATGAAGCAAAAATGATGATGTGGTAGGCAATTAATAAATTGTTGTTGTGACACATCTACAACCAAGGCCACTGTTAGAGTCCCAGATGTACAACCAAACACTGAGGTCAAACTCCTATTTACATGGTAAATAGGAACCTACTTATTAATGTCATTTACCTAAGCACAGGGGCAGGGGATCATGATCTCAAAATGACAAGTAAAACAACAATAGTAATTAGCCTTAGGAGCAAAAGGCTAAAAAGAAGCCTTATGTGTGATTTGGCTAAGCTTACCATGTATCATTTTGATGTGTTATCAGTTCCTTTTTATAAAGCAACTATAAATTAAATAAAGAAACCATTAAGTTAAGAATATGTATCAACACAAACATGGTCTACATTTTTTCACTGATGACGATTCAAGATATTAGCTGCTTTTGATACACACATACACATACACATATCACACACACATATATATGGATCTAGCTAGATGTATGTAGCTAGACAAATATGTGTTGATATATATGTAAATATATATACATATATTTTAAATATACACATAGATATCAGGAGTGTATATTATATATATATATATATATATATCACTAATTACATAACAAAACTATGTTTTTAGTCCCTTATTAAAGCCAAAGCTTTGAAAACAGTGATTGTTCATTCAAATTACACATCCTGCCTTGAATTTCTGTAAATTTCATCTCTTTAATCAACATGTCTTTTATAATCTGAACACCTACACATTAATTTTTAATCTACATATCTTTGGAGGCCAGAAGAGTCCTGGGAAATAGCAAAAGTTAGTGAGTAAATAAAAATAAAACACATGTGACAAATCTTTCAACCTCTGGTTGTTCTCAAATTTTTTTTCTCTCTTGTCACTTTGGATATTTAACTAAATGACAAGCAACACCTTTACAGGTATGTATATGCTGCTCTCTTGTCTTTAATGCCTGTAACATTACCAGACTTCAGAAAGGCAACTTTGGTTGTCAGAGGGAGCCTTTAGTATTCCTCCTTTATAAAATACAGAGGGTTCAAATAAGACTTGTACTCCAGGCAACAAAGTTGTGCAGTGGATAGAGAATTGGGCTTTGAGTCAGGAAGATTCATCTTCCTGAGTTCAAATCCAGTCTCAGACATTAACTAGCTTTGTGATCCTGGGCAAGTCACTTAACTCAGTTTGCCTCAGTTTCCTCATCTGTAAAAATGAGCTGGAGAAGGAAATGGCAAACCACTCCAGTTTGCCCAGAAAATTCCAAAGGGTGTACATGACTGAAAAATGACAAAACAAACTTTGGAAAAGGTTGCATTCACCTGCCACACTGTTTTTTTGTATTTTCCTTCCATTTCATTCATTATCCAATTCATTCACTGTCCTTCAACCCAAAAAGCTTCTTTTTTTTCTGGGCCCACGCACCTCTCACACAGGATTTACATACCAGAGATGTCAATATGTGAAAGATCTATGATTTCTTTAGCAGTGAGAACTCCTTCCAGTAAAGCAGATCCTAACCTATCTTTAACTTAATGAAGAAGTCTCAAAGCCTGAGACTCAGGGAGTTGAAATGACTTGTCTAGAATCACAAAGCTAAGAAATACCAGAGGTAGGATTTGAACCTAGGTCTTCCTGACTCTAAGTCCATCCTATTCATAATGCCACGCTACCTCTCCTTACCAGTATATATTACCTAAGATGATGCCATACAAATCCCATTACAAATCTGGAAACATCCTTCCATGAATATACTTCATCCACCCAAAAATAGTCTTGCACAAAAAAGAATCAAATAATATTTAATAATGTTGTTATGAGACCCAAAAGTGTTGCTCCAGCCTTCTATACAATATCTTCATGAATTAATTCATTTGTGGACCCAGAATTCTTCTATAAGATGCATCAAGGACATAATCACCTGGTGTTACTGTTTTCTTTGAATTATCCTTTTATCCCCACTTTAATTGAGAATCTTCTTTGGTAAGAGTCATTTGAGGGTCAGAATGTCAATGTGTGTTTATTTCCAATATACAAAACAAGAAAGAGGATGGAAATGATCTGCAACATAAAATGAGGAATATACAAATATTATTGTGTGATAATGTCTAGTATGTTAAAATGCAGGGTATGAGAAATAATATCCTTGGTACTGAATCTAGAGATTCCTATAAAAGAGTGAGGTGGGAAAAGAAAAATGATCAAATATATAAACAGTGTTCATCAGTTAAATCTTCTCCCTTTAATCTATGATTGTGTGCCACCATGCTCATCATGAGTTTGTATCAATCCTTCATCTCCATGGATAAGAGTACGAGTAAAAACGTGAAATGAAATGGCTGCTCATATTACCTCTTTGGAATAGACAAAGAAAACTAATGAATGTAACCAGACAAAACTCTAGCAGTCTCTTATTTAGAAAGAGCCATCTGAAAACAAACATACACACAAACAAATGATCAAACAAAATGGGAAAGAACCAGCAAAACTAGGGAATGTGAAAGATCTTTGATTTCTGTGATTTCAGCAGCGTGAGAAACTTTTGTTATGGAAACTCTATCAACTAACACAGATCCTGTCTACTAAATTAGTTGTCTAATAGCTTACCTGTCTATTAGATTACTTTTCTATGACTCAGAAGTTCAGTCCTAGGGAGTGCCTTGAGACACACAGAGATCAAGTTGCTTGCTCAGAGTGACAGAGATAGTAACTATGAAAGCCAGTGTTAGAACTCATGTCCTCTGCTCCATAGAGCAACCTGCATAATATTTAGATTCATAGTACAAAGAAGTAAAAGAGGGCGGAATGTGATATGATAACTTTGAAACAGTTGAAAAATAGAGAAGAAAAAAGTAATTTTTTTTAGAATGTGAAATACGTCCCCCAAAGAAAATGTATATTTATTGAATTGAATTTTATTAAATAGAAAGGAAAATAATGCCCATGCTCTAAGAAAGTCAATAGAATCCTCTAAAGCACTAAGATTAAAAATTATTTAAATATTATTGAAGAATCTGTTTTCACCATTTCTGTAGTTCTGTTATGCAAAATCTTGATATAAGAAAAATGAATTCAGAAACAGACATAAATAACAATTAAAAAGGGAAATTTCTACCAGTCAGGGATTGCATATAATGAGAGGGAGAGGATAGCCTCAGAAATGAATGTACCACCCCAACAGCATGTAATATGGGTTGAGTGGTGAATTTCCTTTTAGGAATCCAAAATAAATGAGGAGAAATGGAGCTGATAGTTGCATATTTTGTGAGAAAATGCTCACAATTAAATTACTGAAATTTGTGCTGTACAAAATGAGGCAATGGATGGTTTCACAGAAACTTGGAAGGATTTGTATCAATTAATGTAGAGAGAATTGAGAACAAGGAGAACAATTTATACAATAACAACAACATTGTAAAGACAATTTTGAGTGACTTGTGAGCACTGATCGTTGTAATGACCAACTATGATTTAAGAAGATGAAGAATGAAGGAAGTTATGTACCCTTTGACAGAGAGGTGATGGATTCAAAATGCAAAATATGGCATGTTTTGGAAACTACCAATGTGGGAATTTGTTTTGTGTGAATATACATATTTGTTACAAGGCCTTGGTTATTCTTTTTTTTTTTTATAAATGTCCTAGGGGCAGGAGGATTCAGAGGAATAGGATGGGGTAGGGAAGGAAGAAAAGAAGGAAGGAAAGAAGGAAGGAAAGAAGGAAGGAAGGAAGGGGATAATTGAGGTATCTTTTTTAATGCAGAAGGCATAATAGAATAAAGGCAAGAAGGAAGCATAGTTAAGCAGGACAACTATAGGTTAAGCATGCATATTGCAATAGTTAGCAACATATTAAACATACACATAATATATTAGTTTCCTTTGTATTACTATGAATTTTATTTTATGCATTAAAAACATTATTTTGAGAAGGGATCCATAGTGAATCACCAGACTGCCGAAAGGATCTATAGTAATAATAAAAAAAATGTTTAGGATCCGTCTTCTAAGTTAGGCCAAATAGGTTGAGAAATAAAAAGGAAGTTAATCTCATTCTATCATCTTAAATAGTGCTTGAAATAGTTTAGGAAGCTATAAAGGTAGAAAACATTGATGAAAAGAAAAAACTGATACTTTTCTCCATCAAATAGAAGAAGATTAATTGTATTATTTAACTAGTTAATATCTACAGACATAAGGAGAGGTAATTTTGCAGTGGTTAAAGAAGAAAAAAAAACCACTTGTTAATATAACTTCACCTTTCTTTGAGAACCTTAGGAAATATTTGGGGATTATTCCTTCCCTAGGATAGTAATTAGCAGCATTATATAATTCTAAAGATAAGAGAAGGTAGTGGAGATTGACTGGAAATTATACTAATTCCTCTATTTGCATTTGTCTTCTATAAAAGTAGAATGCATGAATAATTTTTATTATCTGACTTTTTTGTGGTTTAAATTTTGGGTTAAGAGAATTTACCATAGTCAGCATGGCAATTAGACTGTTAAGGTCAAATATAATTTGGTTCTGATAAATAAACTTTTTCATGAAGGAAGATTGCTATTATTACAGATTAGGATGCATTCTTATGAAGAATAGAAACAGAACTGAAAATTTAGAAACATGGAGAAACTATGAGGGAAAAAAAAGAGAACTGAACAAAAAAAGATTTTTTTAAAAGCTAGCGCATTTGCTTTTAAGAAAAAAAAAGCACAAGAAACAGATGTTCATTTAACAAAACATAACACGTATCCAGAAAACAAGAAACAGTGTCTAGCACATAGTAGGCTCTTAATAAATAAACATTTTATAAATTTAGCTGAATTGAAATATCCAAAAACCCAAATGAAATTAATGAAATTAAGTTTTTTGTTTGTATGTTTTTTTTTTTTTTTTTAGTGAAGCATATGATAAAAGGCTACACGAGCACAAAAAGCAATATTCCATTTTGGATATGATAAGAGGATGACCATCATAAAACAAACATCATAGTATGATGAATAAATGTCATTAGACAATGCAATCTCCATTTATAATTGGGTACACTATCAATATCAGATTCTATCTTATTGTATTCTAAGAACTAAAAATGCAAAAGAAAGGACTCAGAAGAGACACAGAACTTGACTAAAAACTTGGAAAATAAGATCCATTAAGATAACTATAATAATCATCAGCTTTAAAAAGGGTATAAAATGTTTGCTTCAGGTAACTGTGTATTTGAGTAAGGGAAGAGTGATGGGGAGATGGGACATAGTGTGTGGAGAGAACTATTCTAAATTGTGCATGTGAACTTAAAGCCTTTTCAAGCTGTTGATCAATATAGGAGTGGAAGCAAGTTAACCCTAGATTGTCCCTTATAGTCCTATGAGTCCATGAAGAAAGCAATAGATTTAGCACACACACACACACACACACACACACACACACACACATACACCTTCAAAGTTATTCCCATTCCAACTTCTAACTTATTTTGATTAAATTAGACATATAGCTGTTGTCATTTATCAAATAAACAGAATTAGCTTAGCCTAATTTGGTTTGGTCAGATCTATGGTACTGTTTATGTTTTATTCCTTTAAATTCTTATGAGAAAAATTTTGGTTTTGTCCAGGAAATTTTCAAATGTTAAAATAAAATCTGCAAAATCCAGCTATTTCAAGATGCAAAATTTTGGAGAGAATGGGGCCAAGAATTACATTTAATTTGACTCACTTATTTTACATATAAGTTCCACGAAATTTAGAGCAATGAAGTGAGTCGTATAGGTTCCTGCAGCTCAGAGACATAAGGAATGCTTAAAGCTAGAGGGAACTTTAGAGATCATCTAGTTCAAACTCCTTCACTTCAGAGGCATCTTCTGACAAAAATAGAAAAGAGGGTGATTCTTGTTTCTTGAGCTTTGTACACAGTAACTGCACCTGGTTGATATTATATTTTGTTGTTGTTGTTGTTGTTGTTTTGGTTTGCTTTGGTTTTGGGTAGCATCATCTCATTGTTAATGTATAACAAGTTTGTGATCTGATAAAAACCCTCAGACCTTTTTCACATTAAAAAAAAAGTGGGTTTCCTTCATCCTGTAATTCCACAATTTATTTTTTAAACTTAAATTCAGAACTTGACACACATCCCTACTAAAGATTATCTTTTTTACAGAATCATGGAATCTGAAATTTGAGAGCCTCTGAGGATATAAAGTCCCACCCATAATTAGACCAAAATCTCCTCTACAACATCCCCACTGCGGTCATCTAGCCTTGTTACTGTTGCTGTTATTATTCAAAAATTCTCACCTTTGCAGTGGACTTCAGATAGAAATGGTCCAAGGAAAAGTTGTCATTATTTTATATTTAATGTTCTATAGACTATTGAACATGTGGTGGTGATGGTGGTGGTGATGTGGTGGGAATCATTGCTTTTGAGGTTGAATAAAACATTAGAATGTGATCTCATCTTCTATAGGCTTACCATAAGCATTTCAGTTATCATCATCATTATCATCATTGTTATTATATTTACCATAATACATTTTTTAGAATTTGGATGTAATTTTGATCCCTCTGTTTTCCACATTCAACTATTCTCCACTCTACCCTACTTTTTTTTTTTTTAAACAAGCCAGGACAATTACTTTAATGGCAGAACCAGGACTAGAATTAAAGTCTTCGGGCTGCCAGTCTGTTTTTCTTTCCAGGCTCTCATTAGTATTGCCTCAAACAAAATATTCTTTACAGTTATTTCCTAAATCTTTGACATCTCACTCTCTTCTTCTCCAGTGAAAGGTTTACATACAATTAACACTGTTCCCAATCATTTCTTCAATTTCTTCAGTTCTATCATATTTAGGATCTATGGAAGTTGAATTAATCCCTGTGGTAAAATGGAAAGAACAGTGGCTTTGGAATCAGAGACCTCAGGTTTAAATCCCAACTCCGCTACTTAGGATGGGTACAATTTTGGGTAAGCTGATTCATCCTTTTGGTGCTCATCTATAAAAGAAGGGAGTTGGACTAAATCATTATCTGCTGTCCCCTCCAGCGCTAAATCCTGTCAGGCACA